AATTCTGCTGATATCTGTTTTTCCTGAAAAGTTAACAATTTAAAGATAGAAAGCAGCATTCTCAGCGTTTGCAAAAACAAGCACGTCTGTGCAATTTTCAAACAGGAAACAGTGTTCTTCCACAGGCTAGAAAAGCTAAATTGATTACCTCTTTATAATGGGTATAAAAGGTAATTCACAGAATAAAACTGTTTACAATTATGTTGATCAAGTCAGAATTCGAATTTGGGTAATTAATCCATTGCAGGGGCTTTATTGGAGCAGTGATTAGTATTGATAAAAACCCTCTCTTGGTTCAGCTACAAGCCAGTCCTTACCTTTCCGGACTCAACGCAGAGCTGACACTACAAGTTTTGGAAGTTCTGAAAATGTAGAGAATTAAATCATGAAGCTAGTTCTGTTCAGTACAACACATGCCCTTGGGGAAAATTATAGAGCTTTCCACAGGTTAGAAGGATAAGAGCCACATTTTGCTGTGCTCTGTGCAGATTATTGTTTACGGCATGCAGCGTCAGCAAATAAGGAAAATATATGTCCTGTGGATATCCCTTAGGAAGCAAGTTCTCTGGTTTACTAGTACCCCTTGGCTTTAAGCACAACAGATGAGTGCTCTTGTTATCAGGACCCAAACACAATTCAGCCTAAGCATCCTGTCACTCTTCCAGTAACAAGATAAATGCTTGTTACCCTCTTAAAGCGCTAAGATAAAACACCCCGCCTGGTATCCATGTTCGAACACCTCTCATTTGGGCTTGTTGAGTCGGCTGCTGCGAACAGACACCGCAATCACAGCCTCGCTGAAAATACACACAGGTCTGGAGTTCACAAATCTCCAGGGAGCCATGTTTAATTCATGAGAGAACCTAAAATGAGTCCGAAAGCGAGACCTTGCAACCCTTTTAATGTATTCAGCAAGGTTTTTCTGAGGCTTTGTGTGTGTGTGTCCCGCGCCTCTGCTGTCCGTCTGTCTGTCTTTCTCCTGCTCAGATGCCTGTCACGTCACTCTGCCCTTTGCTTTGGACCATCAATGTCAACACTTCATTCCTGTGTGGATCTGATTTGTGACGTGGTCCTCTCACTTCTCCGCTCTCGCCTTTGCATTCCCTCTCCTCGCTTGTCAGTGATCAAATAGAGTAACATCAAAGACAGATGACAAAGAAATGTCACATGTTGTTAAGGTCAGGAACCAGTGGCAAAAGTAATTTACCCATGTTCTTTGGCTTGGTTTGTTACAAGGCCCCTGTATATCCCTTGTTCTTTTAGCAAATTAAAAGTAGTTGATTTTCAAACAACACCCAGGGGCTCTATAAGTTAATTGCCTCTTGTGGAGCTCCAAAGGTGTTGTAAGATTGCTGCTAAAATTAGGGCATTATCTGAGGTTCCCCCCACACACTCACACCCCCACTCCCCTCTATAACTACAGCAGTGGCTGTTATTAAATCCCACATCATTCAGGAGACATTGAAAGTGTTCCTTTTCTACTTCTCCCGTCACTTTGGACCTCACATAACAGATGTTTAAAAATACCTGTTTCGGCATACAGCCCAGGAGCAGAGAAATACTCTTTAAAATCACATCACACATAGTGTAGACTGTCAGCACATCACCTAGTCACTCTGGTGGAGCTAAAAACAACCACAAAGATACTATGTACACTCATTTTATATTAGATTAAATGTAAAGTATAAGAAGCGACTGGATTTTCTGTGACAGTAAGTATTTCTCTGTATCCAGCTGATTAAGAAACAATCGCTGCCTCTGATCTTAACGGTGGTGTGGCCATGGTGGAGCAGCGTGAAAGCATTTTGTCTTTGTATATAGAGAGTTGTGTGTGTGTGTGTGTGTGTGTGTGTGTACATATGTGTCTACATGTGGGCACATTTAGTTGAAGCAACTGGCGATGTTGGCAATGACAAGCGTGCTCTTTGGGAAAATGACACCGTTTAAAACACTGCAGCTGAGCCTGCTTCATTGTACAGGCAAATTAGCCAACAGTGGACACTGGGTCATCTCCCATGTGATGTTAGCAGCTAATCCTTTACTTGGGTCTTCCAGCAGTGAAAATGCTGCACATTTATTATGCTGTCTTATTATGCCTGTCTACTGGGGGCATACACAGTGCTTGGTTTGTTTGTTTCGTTTTTCCTCTCATGGTTCAACGTGACCTCATCCCTACTCTGCATAATTTGATGCCTGGGCAGACGCGCCCGGCATCACTATAAAGACACTGGTTGAAGCCTTTAGCGTTGTTTCTTGATGCAGAAGGGGTCGGCAGCAAGTCACATGAGTCATGTGACCCAGAGGGGGTCATTGATTAGGATTAGGCAGCAACACTACTTGGTTATGATTATGAAAAAAACGTGGTTAGTCACATCAGTCAACTCATGTGACTAAAACTGGCAAAAAAAACTCAGTGGTGACTTTTAGTTTCACACAGGACACAAACACTGTGCTCCTGGTCAAAGTCCTGTGCTTGTTGAACACAGACTTTTGTCCATTGCTTTGAGCATCTAATATTGACATGTATGGGTTTATATTGGAGTTGGGTGAAAGCCTAGTGTGTCTCATACAGATGCTAAAGGGTGCTTCTGGCGTCCTCATAGTGACCTCGAGGACACTGCCCAAGTGGCGTATTTGGAAGCTCTGGGAAAGAGACCAGGCTGCATTGTAATCATGTACTTCACTTGATAAGGGACTGCCAGATGGATCCAGTTCTTCTGGCTTTTAAAATGACTTTTTTCCCCTCATGTTGAATGAGTTGAACTTCAAGTATGAAACATTTTTACATTTATTTGTTAATATTTTACTCAGTATGGGTGTATTTTTTACAGGGTAAGCTGCAAATTCATCTGCCCGTCATTATGTTTGTGAAGGTGCTGTGTTCAAGAATACGTCCACCCTGTCTCCCAAAACACAACTGGCTATAACTGATTTATTTAGCTTCCTGGAAGTGCTACTTTTTTGCACCACATAAGTGTCTGTAACACAGTTATCAGTCCCATTTGCAGACAGCTTTAGGCAGAAACTGTCTCACTGTAAATGCTTAAACATTACCCATGAAAAACATCCTTCAGTTGCTACAAGCAGATATTGTATTGCAACTGTGTGTACTGTTGGGAAGGCAAAATAAATATAGTGTGAGACCAGTCTACAGTCATGATATCAGTTCTGTGAGGCTGTGCTTAAGCATGGTGGTGCTTTGAGCTAATTGCTTACATTAGCATTCTATATGGCAATGCTAGCATGTTGATGTTAAACAGGTACAATGCTTAGCATGTTCACCATCTGTGTTGCTAACTCAACACAAAGTACAGCTCAGGCTCATAGGATTGCTATTCGTTTTGAGGGTCTGAATCAAATTTTGACCTAATAATGGAACTCGAAACTATACAAATAACCATCTACGGAGCATGAGTGTAACAAATTTAATGGAAATTCATACAATAAATTCAGTTCAATAGGTCTTCCAGTCTGTTCCACAAAATGTCAACATAATGATGGTGCTAGAGGAAGAGTCATATGACCACCAGAGTCATCTTCAGGGGACTACGAACACCTGTAGGATATCTAATGGCAATTCATGTAATAGTTGTCGAGATATTCCAATCTGGACAAAAGTGGAGAGACCAATCGGCTGACTGAGAGATTGTTGTCATGCTGCTAGGCTGGCGGAGTATATTGTTTTATTATGTTGATAAAAAATGCAATCGAGGCAGGCTGATTTATGTGGAACGTTCTCAAGTAACACCACCATTGCTGTGGTGGGAGAGTTGAACTGAACACAATTTCACTGATAGTAAAAGCATTAAAGTTGGATTGATGACACCTGGCAATGGTTCCTTTTGATAGATGAAAATAGAATACACTGTGAATATGGTATATAATCAAATCTTTTGACAGTCCATCACATTATAAATGTAAGAGAGCAGTGTTGTTGCCCGAGCTACCATTTATCTTCAGACTGCGCAGTCTTGCATATGATTAGCATTCAGTAGCTCATGATTTTTTTTTTTTTTTTTTTTGCGTTGATTTTGTGGTAATATGTGAGTGTATAAGTGGAATTTTATCACAAAAGTATGGTCTCAACACTATAATTTCTCACTGAGCAGAGGCTTGAGAATCTTGCGCTTGATTCTACATGATTCTCGTTAAAATTGTCCAAAAGTAGTTTACAACTGAGATGCCATAGCAATGACAACAGCTTCCACTAACTTCCCTGTGCAGTATATATTATATCTGTATAATAAAAACCTTCATGTAGACTGTGCAGACAAAATATTACAACCAATAGCATCAATCAATCAATCACTTTATTTGTCCCCAGTGGGGTAAATGGTTGTGCAACAGTGGGATGGGTACATTTAGCACACACAGGGCACATAATACAACACTAAGACCAAAAAAAACATAACTACATAACATTTATAACATAAATAGAAATGCAGACATTTGACTCTATGGAGGATTTTACCTTTTATAGCTCATCGTTCAAACGGTTCTCCTGGGTTTCTGTGGGCTGTAATCACACTGACCGGCAAATATTGACATATTGATAAATTGGAGCCATTTCAATGACAGGCAGAAATGAATGTGCCCGGGGGTTACACTATACATCAACACAACATTGTTAGTGAGATGTAATATATGTGTAATTTATATGGCTTAGGGTTGAAAGGTTGAAAGCACTAATGGATAAAGCTTGTGTAAGTGCTCTGTACCTTTGACCTTTATTCTGTGTTGAAATGTTCATTTTAAAAAATGACGAGTGAATCGATGCTCAGTGTGCTGCTGCAAATGACAACAAAATGCCTTAAATAGTTTCAAAACGTGTGTTTTACAGCCTAAATTCAATTGACTATTGTACTTTCTCGTGTCTTACAGGTGTTGCGCTTCAGCTGAGGATGGCAGGAGACTCTCGAGTCCTCATGGACCACAACATGGAGATAGGAGTCACACCTGCACAGGTAAAATGCACAGCCACTACCAGTCAAACACTGTAGTGATCATGAAGGTGTTTCCACAGTGGGGCGAGAAAGCATGACACATGAGAGAGATGATGTGAGAGAAAGAGGCGGCATGGTGATGGCGGCTATAGTAGAGAGAGCAGAGGATGAAGATGAGATGGAAAAGATATAGACTGATTGGTGGGGACAGAGCAATGTGTGTGAGAATGAAAACCAGACTGATTGCTTTCAAGAATGGGGTACCAAGGAGGATAAAAAGGCTGTTTGATATACAGGAGATATGCTCCACACATACTTTATATATTGGGTAAGCAGTACAGATTATAGATCAAGGCCCACAAATCAAACCTTTTTCTTTAGTTCACATAAATATATAGCTCAGTTTACTTGCCAGCGGAGATAGAGGGACAAGAAAAGACACCCTAGTCACTCCCAATAACGGATGGTGTAGTTGCTCTGGGTATCTGTCCTGATTCCCCAGCTGATTGGAACTTACGCTGCCTACCCAGGCGCAGCCAGAAAGGCTCAATGAGAGAAAACACCCACCACTTACCACTGCCACACAGAGAGAAATAATTAATTTGTTTATCGACCATCACCCCCACACACCATATTGACTACAAAGGCCAAAGATTGGGTGGCACTGGCGGTGACAGCTTCATCTATCACTCAATTAGCCCCCAAAATAAATGGGCCTATTTTAGCTGTCTTTCCTTTAAAAGCTGTGAAGTAGTGATTAAACACAACTTAAAAAAACAACTGTGTACATTAACCGATCATTTCAGTGGAAAGTTTCACTCTTAAAAGAAACGGTGGACTGAAACGGTGTTCCAAATCTATATTTGATCTAATGTCTCTGAGCGTAGTTAGTAATAAGGAAGCCCATTGACATTTGGTGAATGCATCGTCATCAGGCTACTAATTGCTATGCCGGTCAATAAGCATCGTCTTTCAATTCTTCTTTGTCAAAACGTTCCTTAAACTGGGATCACTTCAAATCAATATGTGAAAACTCAATACTGCACATGTAGGCTTGACCGAGTGTGTACACAGGACAGCAGTGAAACAGCACCTGGCATCTCCTAGAAAAGCCTCCTGAATAAGCTGTCTGACAGATTTTATTATCCGGGTCTCTGCAATCGAAGGCACTGCAAGGATATTGTAGTGCCTTAGATTATGTCCTTCCCCGGTTCAACTGTGAGAGTGATCGTCTTGGTGATAGAGCAGAAGAGCAGACGGTGTAACAACAATAGGACGTAACTTTTTTTTTTTTTTTCCTGGTGATGTGAGCATGACTCTACAGAGAGAAGGATCCCAGGTGTCCTCTCAGCAGCAAGAAATGCAGAGGGCACGAGAGCTGTTTTCTTGCCTCAACACAACATATTTCCATTAACAACTTGGATTGGAAAGTGTCAGTGTGCTGCCAAAATGTCCTTGGTCTGTTTGAAAGGTGCTTTGCAACTTTGTCCTCCTGTATTTGTGTCTTTCTGTGTACCAAAAAGAGGGACAAACAACTGCCCTCTGCAGGACTAGAGTGCTGGGCTGTGTTGCAGTCATTGTTTTTCAATAACCCTAAATATTCTACAGTATTAGATCCTGCATGTGTGTGCATGAAAGCCAGTTTCTAGATAAGTGCACTATGTCTTTTTGAGGATGCCATAAGGGTCTGTTGGGGAAGGATTGGAGGATCTGTTCCTATCCAGGCCTGCCAATGTCCCATAGGGTGTGAGGGGAGGGAACACAAGGGACAGGGAGGGAGGCAGAGCACAGCTGTGGAGCCAGATCGCCTCGTTGGAGCCGAGCCAACATAGACAAAGACCTGGGCGTCCTTGTGTTCTTGTTGTGTCCTTACTCTCTCTTTCTCCCTGTATATGTGTGCATACAGTGACACCTACAATGTCACTGTGGAGCAGCACAGAGCAGTGACTTTATAACGGCTCGTAATTTTATTTGCCTCCCCCCCAGCAGCACAGAGCAGTGTGGTTTTTTGGCGAGGCTGAAAGAAAATCTCATTAAAAAGGTTAACACTTACATCCTCCAGTACAAACTCAATACAGCTTTAGAGAAAATATTAATGAAAAGAAATCAAAGTGGCTACTGTAAAATACACCCATGTGGAGAAAAGCTTAAATTGCTACTCTTCTTCTTCCCTCTTTCTTTCCCCTCATTTTGCCTCTCTGTCTCTGTTTATTCTCCCTCTAGGTGAAGAAGCTTCCTAAACACTTACGGGAGGCTCAGATCTCAACAGAGCGAACCCACTTGATATCTGACCCAGCGAAGAAGCCACGTCAGCGGTACGTGCAGAAGGATGGCAAGTGCAACGTTCATCACGGAAACGTGCAAGAGACCTACCGATACCTCAGTGACTTGTTCACTACGCTGGTGGACCTACGCTGGCGTCTTAGTCTCTTTATTTTCACCTTGGTGTATGTAGTCAACTGGCTTTTCTTTGGCTTTCTGTGGTGGCTGATAGCGCTCATCCGTGGGGATCTGCTGCATGCCGATGAGGAGGGCTGGACCCCCTGTGTGGAGAACCTCAACAGTTTTGTGTCAGCCTTCCTCTTCTCAATTGAAACAGAGACCACCATTGGGTACGGTTATCGCGTAATCACAGAGAAATGCCCTGAGGGTATCATACTGCTTTTGGTGCAGGCCATCCTGGGTTCCATTGTTAACGCCATGATGGTGGGCTGCATGTTTGTCAAGATCTCACAGCCAAAGAACCGCGCCGAGACTCTCATGTTCTCACACAATGCTGTCATATCGGTGCGAGACAACAAGATGTGCCTGATGTTTCGGGTGGGGGACCTGAGGAACTCTCACATCGTGGAGGCATCGATCAGGGCAAAGCTGATCCGCTCGCAGCAGACCAAGGAGGGGGAGTTCATCCCGCTCAACCAGACTGACATCAACATCGGCTTTGACACAGGAGACGACCGGCTGTTCCTGGTGTCGCCGCTTATCATCTCTCATGAGATCAATGAGAAGAGCCCTTTCTGGGAGATGACACTGGCACAGATGGAGAAGGAAGAGTTTGAGATCGTGGTTATCCTCGAGGGCATGGTGGAGGCCACAGGTATGAAGCGTTGGGGGGGATGATGAAGGGACGGGGTAAAGAGACAGATCGAGGTGGAATGGCAGGACAGATGGGTGATGGGTGGATGGATAGGGAGAGACAGAGATTGATGAAATGTTGGACGCAGGAAGGGAGCTGAGTGGGAGGGATGGGAAGATGGATAAGTGGATGGAAAGAGAGAAGAGGCTCACATGGAAAGATGAATTGCTTAAAAGGAGGGGCAGGAGTGAGTACCTGTAAGTGGGGCAGATTGCAAAAGATAATATTGTAATGGATGGAAAGAAAGAGAGACTAACATACTAACAGATCATACACTCGCTAAGTGAGACATAAATAATATTAATGCATTTCACTTCAGAGTTAGTACAACTTTTAATGTGGATTTTATTATTTCAATGATTTCAGATGTTTTTGAGGAAGGTGGCAATGTTTCTTTCATTACCTCTACAACTGCAGTTTGAACTTACACACATTTTAAAGTATTTGTAACTTCAGCTGACGCACTGAAAGCTGATCACACCACAGCCGCCCTACAAATGTTTCTCTGTAGTCACTGCAGCCCGCATTTCCACTGTTGCTACTTCAAGGTGACGTCTCTGATATTGTTTATTTCAAAATGAATGAAGCGTAGCTACCCACACTGCTGGTCTGTGTTTTGGGTAAAGGCCAAGCAGTCCTGAAAAGCGCTCCAGGCTACTTGCATTAAGGAGGCAGACATCACCAGGTGTTTCTGTAAAGTTCCACAAAGCTCTTGTTTCCCGGCATGAGGCTGTATTCAAAGCTGCAGAGGAAAATGCAGCATCTTCAACTCAGCAATCAAAGTGAGATAACAGCAGATTGTGATGTCCATGTGTCACACAAAGGCGTTTTCAAAAACACTCAATTTATGATATTCAAAGCTAGTGTTTTGTCATTTTTAGAAAAGCCTTGTATAGAACATCAAACTGCTTGTCATTCATAATTATAATGAGGTGGATACAGGAACCTTTACAGCATGATGGACCACAGCTAGCTGTTAATATGCCGTTCTCATGTGTTTTCTGTGGGGTACTGGCTAAATCAAGTATTGTTTATATGCCCAAGCTGCATTGTTTACTGGCTTTTGTTCAAAGACGGATTACAATCCACTCATTTTAAATACAATGTATTATACATGCTACCAATTTACTTTATTGGTTATCACCATACTTTGCATCAGTAAATGAAACACAGGTTGATTAAGAGCGTTGAGTCTTGTGCACACAATTGTCTTTTTAAAAAGTCGGACAAACGCCCAAGCTCCCTAATGCGATCAGGCATGGCTTTGCATGCATCTGAACATTTCTGCTGTATTTCATTTTTTATTTCTTTATTTTTTTAATTTATTTTTCCTCTAAAGCACCAGTAGTCATCATGCTTCCTGCTCACGCTGCTGGATACTTGACTCAGGCATTAAATCACCTTTTGCTTCACCGGTTTAGACTATGGCGTCATGCAGGGGCTATGTTGTCATCGTCCTTCACCACTAGGCAATGGACCAATCTTCCCCTCCCCCCACTTTCTTGCTCTGTTAACCTTAATGAGACTTGTTAAGCAGGTAATCGAGCGTAAGCCGGGGAGTTAAAGGACAGCTCAATTACAGTTGTTTTAACCCTTTTCTAAGCTTTTGCCATCATAACAGTTGTGTTCAAATTTTTTTGTCATCTTTAACTATACTTGTATAATACAGTATTGCACCTGACACACTGAGAAGTAGGGATAGTGCTAACAACAAATACAAGACCCCAAACTGCTGTATATTTCACTATAAATTTGAATGCTGAAGTGAAATAAGAAACTTGCTATTTTCAAAGTCATGAATCTGCTGTCACTGTTGTTATGTGTCAATTAATGGATGGCCAATGCTGTGGTCTGCTTTAAATCTGATCCAAAAGTAAAGTATATTAAGATTTTCAAATTTCAGAGGTAGTGCCAGGGCAGAAATACAGTACAAAGATTGTTTACTCTTTCCTTCTTTTTTTTTTAATTAATTTTTTTTTATTGGATAATAAACATTTATGGCTCAGATCAACTCATTATTAAACAGAATATTTGCCGCATCATGATTTGGATGCTGCCACAGAGTTTGGAAGTGACAGATGAGTGGGCGGTGAAATGGCTTCATTTTAATGGCTGGCCATCACTTGTTTTCTCTGTTGACATCCAGCCTGTGGTTTAAAGCATAATTGTGAGTCAGGCTCTGGAAATCAACAACAACATTTGTTTCTCAGGCACTCCCACAACGTTTGGGATTAAAAAGTAAAACAAGTTGATGAGTTGCTGAAGAACAATCTGCCCTCCTACTTGGGGACACAGCTTAATTGCACTTATGAAAATATATAAAATAGATTAAATGTACAGTATACTGAGTTACATTTTCTGTTAACGAACGCAGAACATTTGCAAAATGTCACAATACTATTAAGGTATGTAATTAAAGTTCATATCCATAATGTTTTAATATATATCATATTTATAATCTGTATCATTAAACACAATTTATGTGCAAAAAAAGCATGTTCACTTTTCCAAGGGCTCGGTCATGCACATATTGTGCTGTGCATGTAATTTGCAACAGAGAAAATATTGCAGGACTACTGTACCAAATCACATAGTTTACATTTTCATGTGCTGTAGTGCCACATGTCTATTTTTTCCACACAGCAATAAATTTATATCCATCTGAACGTTTTATTTTATTGCTAATTTCCTTAAATCTGCCATTTATCACTTCCACTTCCTTTTATTTAACGCATATATGTAAGTATAATCTCAAAAAACAAGTATAAATACAAGAATAACAAATAATGGAAAGCTACAATTTACTCATATGTGCAGTTTGCTGCCCAGTGGCCCAGTCTTTTTAATTAAAAACAAAATGCCATCAGTGAATGCACATTGTTTAAACATTTCAAAAGTGGTAAGGCATTTCCCTAGATGGAAAATGTGTTATTCATTTGTGGACACTTAAGCAGCAACCAAGCTGTATTCTCTGTTATCACAGTTGTCTACAAATAGCCGAGGGATGCCTCGACTCAAGATGATAATGCACCCTACTGTATATGTATATATTTAATATCTAGTCTTTGCTGTAGAGCCCTTTCACAAAACCACCAATTTAACTAATTGTTTGGTGGCTTTTGAGATGTTGTTCTATTAAATGAAGTGGCTTTATATATTTTTTTAATAAAACATGATGATGCTGCAGTTTATTGTATAATCTCTGGTACTTGTTCTGCTGAGCCAGAGGCCCAGTCATGTGCGTCACTGCCGACAACAAACCTTGTTTTCATTATTGAAGGGTCTCTGAAGATAGCAGGTTTATGGCTGCTTTGTTTCCCGTTTCCTTTCTTGTAAATTATTTATACAGAAAATAATGCTTGCTCTATGCCGTCATGCAAGATTAATAGGGAACTAATTTGTTTTGACACCAATAATGTTGAGGTAGAAAAAAAAATAAAGATAAACTCTAACTGCTGATAATCTGTGACCAATATTTTTTTTTTCCTTTTTGTTAGTTATTTAGTTATATACAATACAAACACACTGTTATTGATGCAAAGCAATAACAAAATGGCTTTGGTCACAGTTTAAATCTCCCAAGTCAGGTTCTCTGGTTTCAGTATGACATGTTCTACCCACTGGCAAGGAAAATAGCGCAGTGGTAGTTTGGAGCTGGAAACGTTAATGTGCGCCACCTAGAGCCAATAATAGCTTCTGCAATTATGGCACCTCCACGCAATGTGTTTTACTGCTTTAGTTGTGTTTGTTTGATTCTGCCAGCTGCTGTTTATATGCTAGGTTTCTTAATTAACAAATTATGGAAAGCATTGCAAAGTGTATGAACTTTGTTCATTCATTCATTAATATGCTTTGTCACATCCGTCAGCGTGTGACATCGACACCAAAGCGTCTCCAATGTAAACCACAGCAACTTGGATGGGTCCAACAAAACTGTATTCACATCCAGGAGACCGCAAATTTGAAACCAAAAGTCAATATTATTACTTATTTTCAGCAAAAACATTTTCTTTTATCTAAACCTAAACTCACCAAGAACATTTAGCAACTTTAACTACATGTGTATTTTTATGTGAGTAACTTAGATGCACTAAAAGATGCTCTGTGCATCACTATGAAACACTGAGGAGTTTGATCAAGCACGAGTATTTGATGAACTAGGAATGTTGAGACTTTTTTATTTTCATTTTGTATCTCTCAAATACCCCCTTTTGTCAGTGATTTCGACATCAGGCATTGGCACAAAAAGGCACCTTTCAAGGCGGTATGATACGCTGTCAGGCAGCGTCACTTTGTAACGCCACCAGCAGTAACGCAGTACAGAAAGCTGGAGAGTTCTTGTCGGGTAAATGGGAGGGGAGTGGAGGTAGATGGGTCAAAAAGTCTTGGACTTTTATGTGGGAGCCTGTTACTCATTTTCTGTGTGAATGTTGAGCCAAACCATGATGCTTTTGTTGCCTAAACCCAACCAATTGCACATGTTTTACCTATGTTGTGAGGTTTTTTGTTAAAAGACTGTATGCATGTAACAAGCAGAAACTGTACATTTCCTGTGAAAGCGGAGGTGTTTTCTGAAATGACAAAGCATTTAAGAACAGATGTAGGAGGATCCCTCGTACATCATATTTAGACGTGAAAGTCCACTGAAAAAGTGGCCATATTTAAATAGTTGGAATGAGAAAGCGTTGGTTGTTCCTAACCAGATCTCACTTGTCTAAAGAAAGAAACAAGTGTAAATTCACAATAGCTGTGACCAACTACCTCACAAACACTTGTCTCTGGTACATTGACAACCGGGTCTTGAGTTATAAAAGGGAATGTGGCAACAAAAAAAAAAGTGTGTGTATATGTCCATATCTCTTGTTTGTGTATATCTCCCCTTCTCCCAATTTCCATGATTTTTTTTTTGGATCAATGAACAACCAATGAACAGGACAGGACGTGGGAGCATTTACAGAAAGCCTTGCACCTCAAAGCATAAGGGCAACCACTAAAAAGCAACAAACAAGACACATGCACAAGACCTTGACATTACTTTGCTCTCTAACTGAGCTCCTGTTGTGTTCTCTCACATTACTGTACTTTCTTATGAATCTTTCTTTTTCTTTTGATATAAAACACATCTCTGATCCAAAACAAATGGACAGCAACATGTTGAGTACAATAAAAAAGTTGAGAAATTAAAGTTGACATATTATATACGCTCTGACCTTGTCACTGCCTGGATTTGTTTAGGTAAACACAGCAGACATTTTGGGAGTTACGATAAAAGTGTTCCCTGCAGGGAGACTTAGTCTGCAGGTGGATGCTGGGATGGCGGTCATAAGCCATAATGACGTGCTACATGAGAAGCGGCAGACACACTGACACACCTAAATTGAAAGCAGCCATTATTTAAATTATTAATGCACCTGTGTTTGATAAGTCAGTCTGTTGAGAGACAGGTCTGCTGGTTACAGAGTGATGACCTCATTATTTCCGCTTCTTCAGGCATGCATCATTTACAGTGAAAGTTCATGCTGGTGCTTTTGCATGCTTTATCCTGTTTACTATATTTGAGTTGAAAAGAGTTCTGGCTGCTCTCATTGCTTAGATGAAGCTAATCTGTGTGTGAGTTTACATGCTGTGGTAATCCCACAGCTTTTGAAAAGCAAGAAGCTAACAAACTCACATGTTCCCTCTCAACACACCCTTGTGTTGAGTTACGCCGTACTTTCAAAGTTTAAAAAATGAAAAGAAACACAGGACAAAATCAAGGAGGCTGCTCTGTGTCTGCATGGCAGTGCGATGTGTTCATGTGCCGGTATGAAGATGTGTACATTCAAAAAAACCTAAGGCTTGGCTGCCAAACATCAGTGGATTCACAAGCTGCGTTTTTCAGAAAATGAGAGCCATAAAATTGCGCAAGCACACACTGCTGTCATGACAAGAATAATGTGAATTCTGTAACCTCTTTTATTACAATGGCTGCTGCTCATCTGCCAAATGTCAAGTCTTGAAGCACATGAACACATCACAGCACAAGTGTCTCCTACGCACCCTGCAGCACTCTGTTTCCACCAATGTATAAAACATAAAAATGGTTGTTTTTTTTACAAAAGATGCAAGAGGAAAAAAAACAATCCACTTCTTTGGAGCCAAGTGCTAAGCAGTACAGGAAGCACATTACCATATATGCTACTGTTGGTGGTGAAAAATGGAAAGTGTGTCATCAAATGTGGACAGTCTGTAGTATTCCCATTACCTTAGTTGTATTAGAAGAATGTGTGTGTGTGTGTGTGGGCTGGCACTTTTTTGTTGTTTGTATTTCTGAAAAATCTAATCCCTCAGGAAGTACTACTCTTAAGTGTTTTTTTTTTTTCATAATCACAACCATCAATACTATACCAATGCATCAGCAAAATACTGTAGCAGTGTCTGTGAAAAGTCTCAGTCATCCTGGTTATATAACATCTTGTATCGAGTCGAAGGCACCTGGACTTTTTAGCTGGGACAAACCTTAATAAAATGACATAACTGGGTGCTTTTAAATGCTAATAGGACAAGATACTAATAGATATTCACAACACAACTTAATGTATTTGGACTCCAAAGTCTTAGCTAAACTAAGAATTTAAAACCAGCACATCAAACAACATGCCAACACCCTTAAGAGGCACTATAGAAAATCCTTCTCATAGCGACTGAAAGACGCTATATCGTCTTTGAAGATCCCGTCACAGAAATAACAAACATTTCACAAGTTAAATGTGGAAACTAGGCCACTCATATCCAGAGGGAAAGCTGAAGAAAAGGTGCAAAAGCCCCTCCTACTGTGACATTAGACACCATATCAGTTTGGCATCTACATCTATTTTAGAGCACTTGCTTGATGTTAGTGGTGATGTTATGCATTTGCAGAGACAGAGCATTATGTAACTCAACAGCTGGGTGAGCCAAGCATCTATGGTGAGTTGGATGTTGCCAGTTTAAAGTGATACACCACCCAATATCTGTCGTCTTCAGCTCTTGACAGGTTGCTGTAGAGTATTGTGACTGTGCTTAGCTTATGACCACTTTAACAGCTTGTTAGTCAAACTTGATACACCTGTGTGACCTGGTGCTGGTCTTGTGAAAGCAGAAAGCAGTGAGTGAGAAATGGAAAAAGAAGCTGAGTGCTTCAAAAGCTGTGTTTCCAAAAAGCTGATTTGTATGCACATTTTGACGCAACGCATTGGTAAAACTGTATGGAAACCGCAGTTCCTTAATTGCGTGCAAAAGTTTTACCTAGGTTAGGTTTATGCAAGTAAAGTTACTGTGGTAAGATTTAGGAAAAGAAACATGGTGATGATGTACCTGAAAGTTAGTAAAAGTTCAGTCACAATTCACACAGTTGCAGACACTGGTCTCCTGGGCAAAAGTCCTGTGATTTGTGACCCATACAAAACGCCCCAGCCTGCCTCCTTATGGGGACTGCTTCCCTCTTTACTCCTGTCAGCAGATTGGACACATGATGACATTCTTACCAAATATATGGGCTATACAGAAGTTATTGGCTCACGATTACACAACCTGGTCTCACTCCTAAGTTGTCAAAAACTGGTGCTTGGGCAGTTTGCGGTGTATGACACTGACTTTTAATGTCAGCATGATCGGCGGCCAGTTGCTGTTCTAGTTGAGTGGCATTTGGCTGCATCAGGGGAAAAGCAACAGGACAAGAACCAAAGTTAAGGTGGCAAAAGTCCAAGTAGGGTCAGTGGGAGAGGTGGTGGATGGGTCCAACAACCATGGGCTTTCACCCGGGAGAGGGGTGGTTGCGTCCTGTAAGATTCTAAAGCCAAACCCTGTTCTTTTTTCCTGAACCTAACCACATGTTTTTGTTGCCTAAACCCAACCATGTGTGTTTGTTGTTGGAAGAAAAAAAACGTCACTTTGCACTGTTGAAGTAGTGCGTTTATTTTGAAATCGACTGTATGTAATCAATAAAACAGAAGTGTAGTTTGAAAGAAGACAATGCATGTAACAGGTAGAACTTGACATGGTGTCCCAGAACGTCAACAACCAACGTTGATATATGACGAGGTGGGAGTGAGAATGTGTTGGCTACTCACATGACTGATCAGCTGTTTTCTCTGTCGGCATCTTCCCATGCATCAGAATCATTGTCTTCATCTCCAGGCAGCATGAAGCACAGCCAATATTAGTTGACATGAGAGAACAATTATAACTTGTCCAGTAGAAACAACGCTCCTCCATTTGGGTTAGATTGCCAAGGTGACTTGTTTTGTTCCCAGTTTGCAGCCCAGTCTTCTTCTACTTTGTTAACTGGCAGATTACAGCCATGCGTAAAGCCTATGCCGCCAACTTCTGACCAATCGATGCTTTGCAGGGCCTAGTTTCTCTGCTCCATACCACTTGATGGAAACGTGTCTAATTCGCATTTCTTTTTGCAGCATTTCAGAAGTTCACTTGAATTCCCTTGCCAATAAAATGGAACAGCTACAGTTCTGAATGACGTTTCTAATTGAGAGTGTGTAGGGCTAGTTAAATTCTGGCTCTGTGTTGCACATGTAGTGCTGTCAGTCTCCGTTTCTTCCCCACCTTTCTTCTTCTTTCTTTACAATCCAGGCAGGCATTTGTACAAGCGTTAAAGGGCAGCATACATGTGTTTTTTTTTTAATAAATATTCATTTTACATGTCATTTATGCTAATGGAGAATACACAAGGGAGAAGAGAGTGGCTAGCTTGCTAATAACTAATTAGAGTGCCTCTTGGTACCGCTAAAACTAAGATTCATACATTACAATAACAATGGGCTCTCTCTGTTGTGATTAATCGTGTGTTTTGCAATTCTTGTTTTGGTATTTATTTCTTATGTGTGATATTTTCACAGCCATTAGCTATATTGCTAACTGTTTGCAGCTCAGTTTTTTCATGATTTTACAGCTATGGTTCAAATACAAAAAACTAAACAAATAAATAGCAACACATTTCCAAATATAGATGTGCAATGTGTCAAAATTCACATGTGCCATGACCAACATGAGCAACACAGTGAGTAATATTTAAATTCCTTCAGTAAAACTACATATTTAATTAAAATTACCAGAGGCCAAGTCTTTTTCTCTTTCCATTTCCAAAGCAAGTGCAAAACTGGGCTACCAAATGTGCTATTTTTTTCCTGACGTGCTTATTGGCAAAAACACACCTCAGAAAATAAATATTGACACATTTTACCATTGTGTGTGAATTCTGCATGTACTATATCAGCCAAGTAGCTCATACTTTCCAAACAAACTAAACCTTTCTATTTAGATCAGTTGTGTTTCCAACATTATTGGCTTCACAAACACGCTGGAGGTTTAGGAAAAAAAAAAAGTACTGTGCAGGTCTTGGCCCTGTGTGTGTACAGATCAGGTATAACTATGAATAATTTACTGATCCTGTCTTTCTTTCTCCTTACACCTCTCCACCTCTCCATCTGTGTGTGTGTGTATATGTTTACCTATCCACACTGATTTGGCGTGTGCATGTGGACACGTACGCCTATCCATGTCCGTGACAGGGATGACATGTCAGGCACGAAGTTCCTACCTGGACACAGAGGTGCTTTGGGGCTACCGCTTCACACCAGTTCTTTCCCTGGAGAAGGGCTTCTACGAGGTAGACTACAACAACTTCCATGATGTCTACGAGACCAACACCCCCACTTGCAGTGCCAAGGAGCTAGCTGCTAAGCTTCGGGAAGGGCCACTATTGCCTCAGCTTTCCATCCTCAGCCCTGAGCCCAAAATGCATACTTTTGACCCTCTGAACCGCCTGTCTGAAGGGAACCCGCTCAGCCCGGATGACGATAAGGAGGAGAGAGATTCAGGGGGTGACAGAGGAGAGACAAATGGCTCAGCTGCTGCTTTGGAGGATCTGCCCCTTGCTGATGGACTGCCGGACTGATGTGACTAATAACCCAGGATGGACTGGACAAGAGGACAGGACAATATAAAGCTTCATTTAGTCAATGGCCAGCTTGTTCCTTTGCAATGCTTGGAGATACAAGACATCCTCATGCAATACTCCTCTACTAGTGTCAATCTATAGTATAGATTGGTTTTGTAGACACGTAAGTACACATACACAGACACACACTTACAGTATCTATATCTACACTTAAAGGTTGGTGGTTCAGATTGTCTTTTTATAATCGTAACGACCACTTACTGCTGTAATGGCTCAAGTTGTATAATGTAAACTTGAGCTGAAACTGGTAGCCATGACAGAGTACCATGGGCTTATTATGGATACTCCAATATTCTCATTTTAGAGTGTGTTGATTCAGCTTCATTTGAACAGAGTATCAGTCTCATAATTCAGCTAATGTGTCCAACAGCAGCTTCTGAGTAGTTACAGAACTTTGTTATTGATGATTTTTTTTCTTTAAATGTGGGAGATTATAATTTCCTTTCTCTGTCAATGTTGTTCTTATTCTATGTCCCACGCCCAGTTCACCCAGGAGGAAATGTATAAGGCTTCTAGTTTGTATAGGCAAAGTATGAAATTGTTCTAAAAAAGGCAATGTGCACTGGCAACCATTATCCAAATTTTGTTCACACCTTCCTCATGGTTGTACTGTCGTTAATACCCACATTGTGTGTGTCTGGTCATCTCCACAACGTACTAGGAGCCTTGACCCAAAAGAAACCAGCTAGTACCTCATTTTATACTCATTTTCAGGGTTTGAAATCAACAATAAGAGCTAGGCAAATGCTGGTAAATAAAAAAAACTGTATGCTAACTGATTATTTTAAGATCTTTTTGACTGGTTAAAGATTTAATTCTGCTTCCTGCTAAAACATGAATTCCAAGTCTTTTTCTTGGTAAGTAAAGCACAATTTCCCATGAGGTGACTCCACACTGACCCGCACTGTACGTCCCACCCCCCACATAATGGCTGATGTATGTCAGTCCTAGTTATAAGTGGCATTCAAATGTAGTTTCAAATATTTATATTATATGAGACATCTATGCTGAACTGCTATTTGAAATGTTCTTGATTCTTATACACCACACACATGAATATTTCAAGCGCTCCACAAGCAAAATGAAATACTCAGTGTATCCTTTTATGTTTGTTTTGTTGGTGTTTTAAATATTAAAAAAGACATCAAACCTTGGTGTTTTTTCAGCTACATAAAAGTTGAGTCTACTGAAGGTAAGAGCAGGTTTTCTGTCTAATCTTACGAGTTCAATATCTGGCCAGCTCATCACTGGCAATATTTGTCATCTTTGTAGTTATTTCCTCTGAACTTTTCACCTTAGTTCACGTCATGATTTGAAGTCTTCTTTGTCCACAAACACACACACACACACACACACACACGCTTGGTTCAATCTGCACTTTGGCCCTGCTCCACAATCCACCCCTGGGTCTTTTGCTTGATATAGTTTACGGCCCTTGTGACGACTGTTTTGGAAGCCGACACTTGTCCTGTGAGAGCCATAGCCTAAAGTATTTTTTGACTTTTCTTTGAAAGGACACATGTCAGAGCTTGCATGCATGAATCAACCCCCTATGCGTCCCATTGCTGAGTAAGTTTAATACGGTAAGAAATACAGGGTATTTTCTAGGCATGCAAATTATGAGATTTCTACGATATATTATCAGATTACGTATTAATATTAAATTATTATTTATGGAAAGAAAAATTCCTAAAACTTTAAAATCTCCCACTCTCCAATTTAATGTTAAATTGTTATTTTTATTTGATTTGATTTTTTTTTTTTTATAACAGAAGCTTGTCCAATCAATGTATTTATTTTTACTGTGACATTTTAGCATCTTACTATGTACTCCATTTGCTAAACGATACGTTTGTCATTAGCGAGAGATCATCTTTCATTGCTGGAATGTCATCTGTTGTCTGTGTGTTCTCATGGGAATAAACATAATATGGCCTAAAGAACAACATGTTCCTGTTAGATAATGTGTGCATGCATGAGCGAGTGGATGACAGTGTGTGAGTGTGTAATTATTTTGCACATAACTTTGCAACTGAGGATTTGAGAGTACCTAAATTTACCACGTGTGACGCTGCACTCCATCAGCTGTAGTGTGACAAAATGATAATTTTAACCCGTGGCTCAGAGTAAAAACAACTGTGTCTAACATGCAAGATACCTGAAAACTGGATTAGTTGTGTATTAAATCATGAAAAGGAGACTATTATCGGCACTGAACAATCTTGTCTTGTACTGACGCTTGAGGCTAAAATGTTTTATGCACACAAGGGGAACAAACATGAGGGATAACATCAAGAAGTTTGTCACCTCATTTCCGTGTCTAAATTTGAATTTATCAATTAAAATTATACAGCAGCAAAGGACACATCTCAGTAGCAACCCAAACCTTCCCTGTGCTAAACCCTGAAATCTAACAATAGCTGTCCAAGCCTTTAAAGCCACATAACCAATGGTTTCACGTGGATTAACATGATTGCAGCTGCTGGAGTCCTCAGGACCTTAACAGCATCCCTGAGTCAGCTTTGTGTGTTAGGGGACTGCTATTACACAGACACATGCACACACACAGGAAGACACAATCACAGAAAACAGCCGGCAGACTGATTAAGAAGGCCACCACAGCTATTAACTAGCAACAGAGAAAACGCTGCAGAAGTCACAGGGGTAATCACATTTATCCAGCGTCTACAGAGTACAACCAGTCCGAAAATGAAACACGATGTTACATTTGGTGGGCAGTGTGTCATAGAAAATCACTGAATCACAGCAATGTGCTGTCAAGGCTATTCTTGTCCAAGCTATTAAATTTGGGGAGCGGGATCGTCAGCAAGCTGACAGTCCCTGATTCAAATCTGAATAATGTACGATGATGAATATAATGCATCCATTGAATGGTGCATTGAAATAGGTACCCAAGGCAGGTGCATGTGGGTGAGCAGGGGTGTGTGTGTGTGTGTGTGTGTGTGTGTGTGTGTTTGTGTGTGTGTGTGTGTGTGTGTGTGAGAGAGAAAGAGAGTGGGAGAGACACAATCAGTCATCACAACCTCAAACCAACAGCCCACATGACTGCACAATAACACCCACAACCACACAACAAAACACAAATTTGTCCATTTAAGCGTTTGCCAAGTGAGATGTGCCCCTATTTTACGAGAATACTATGAAAGAAAAGAACAAAGAGATACATTTGCTAAAGCTGATGAATGGCCCCACACCAACAAAGTAACTAGCTATTGTTCTTTCTCTTTGCATGGCTAGCTAATACTATTCTCTTTCACCTTTAAATAATGCATGCTCGTGACGAAGAAGGAAGCACATAGGTCATTAACAACTGTGTAGTCAGAATAAAACATCCTGCACAAGGAAGAGAATTATAGTCGCAGGAAAAAAGCAAGTGGGAGGAATTTTACTCCGGTACAACACACTAGTGTAAGCTGTTTCCATACTTGCCCCATCCTCAGACTCCCCTTATAACTCCCACACAGAGGGAACACACAGACACAATGCAACTGGGCACACTGACGCAACATCCACAGATGAAAAGGAGATCTACCAAACCTCATTGTCTCCTCTTTAGCAACTGTCTCCCTGCTGAAATTATATCATATTAAGTATTCAAATATCCTCTTACATGGTACTGTAATGGTCCCCCTGTCTTCACTCTCTCAAAGCTCCCCCTGGATAAAGAACACTTTATGTATGTCATTTGTTTCTTTTTTTATTTTTGAACTTTGTAATTTAACTCTCCTTGTGCACTTATAAAGCACTGTTACGTTGAAGCCTCTTTTCCACATTCATCTCCATGTGCAGCTCCGCGCCGCACCCCATAAGACCTGGTGGGTTCCTGTGAATCTCCCTCTGCACTGTTTGTCTGCACAAAAGTGTGGCTGTGAGCCTCCAGGATCCAGCAGTGAACACGTTACAAAGCCTTATGTAATGCTACTTCACACAGAGCAAGTGAACCAATCACGGGAAGGTGACGCATTTCAGTCAGCTGTTTGTTCATGGGGCAGGTCAGTTAAACAGTTTTAGAGATGTTAGAAATTTGGGTAGAACAATACTCAATATAGGAGCTACTCATCCGTGCACATTTGTCCTAGAGCAGAAACGCTGCATGCTACCATACTGCCATGTGTTAACAACATGCAGTCTCACACATATCTTGGACTGTCTTGTCATGTGTGAAGACAGAAAGTTCACAGATAGTGGCTTGAAGTAAGAAAAGAGAAAACCATTAGCATTGCCAGGCAAGTCTGTTTGGGTCTATATGAAAGGAGCTTGATAATGGATTTTTTTCCTGGAGTTTTGAATGGAGCAGGCAGACAGATGCACAGACACAGAGAGAGAAACCTTTGCCTTTTCCCAGCCAGGAGAGAGAGGTCTGCCCTTTGATGTGTTTGGACGATGGCAGCCTTTGATGAGGATTTCTATGGCCGCAGAGTGGCTGTGGCTTCAAATTAAGCTGGCTGAGCAGCTTCTCCTGCTGAGAAGCACAGGCAGGCAGCACAGAGAGCACAAGAATACTGTCACTACGCCTACCTCTCTCTGTTTAGTCATTTTTACACATTTTTCCTCTTTTAAGCTTTTCCCAGTCATTAACCTCCCCTGATATTACTGATACCATGCCGTCCCCACATGCGCTGTAGTCGCCCTCGGTTTTCCCCTGACATTCCCAGTCACCTGATTACCTTACACAGCAGCACACCTGTTCCCTGTTCCCTCATTATCTCCCCTGCATATATACCAGCCTTCTGTCCCCAGTCATTTGCCAGATTGTCTAATGCACTACCCAGGCTTAGCCTTCTAGCCTTTGTTTCTGACCACAGGCCCGCGTCTGCCTCTTGCTCATCTGTTTGCCCTGGCTGACTGATTATCTGTTTCCAAACTCTGCCTTTCACTTCTTACAAAGTAGTTGATTGCTTTCAACTGCCTCTGAGTCCTGCTTTTGAGTCCACATCTGTGCGCAGAATCGTTACAAATGAAATATTTTTGCTTGCTTTCTTGCTGGGGTTGTGATATCACTGGCATGTCAGGCTGTTCTCAGGCACTGTTCTTGTCTTTTCCTAAGAAAAGTAATGCAGCAAAATTCATTCATATCCGATGTCATCATGAGACAGTAATTCATGTATAATCAACATATTTACGAAGGCTGTAATCATGTCACCAATGCGCTGACGGGAGTAAAGAGGGACACAGTCTGCAAGGATAGAGGTTGAAGTGGTTGATGGGTCACAAAACACAGGACTTTCACCTGAGACTTTCTTCAGGAGACTGCAATTTGGAACCATGTGAACACTGAGTTAAAGCAACACTTACCTTTCTGGAAATTTCACGCTTTGTTTGTTAAAATGGTATTGATAAGCTGATGACACGCTAAAATGTAAGTGAATTCCACCAGGGATAAAAACTCATAATTGTACCATTCTCATATGGTTCTAAGAAAACTCCGACCAATCGTGCAATGATTGGCCAAGCATCCTGTCTGTCCTCCCCACATGGAGGCCTCCAACTGATGTAACCGCATTATCTTCCTTGTTTGTTGCCAGTCACCACTACTATCTAACGTTAGCGCTTACATTATATTATAAAACTCATCAGTCATCGCTGACCCTGGATAAGTTTCAAAACTCTGGGGTTGCATCTGACTGTGCAGGACAGGTAACGTTATGTTTAGTTTGCTTCTAATGTAACATATAATGTTATATGACAAAGAGCATCCAGTTGCTAATGGCTAACATTAGCCTACTGTAGCGTAGTCTCTGAAACATTAACGTTATCTTCCTTGTGCTTTTCCACTTACTAGTAACGTTAACGCTGCTATCTGACGTTAGCACTGTAACCTTATTCTAAAACTCATCAGTCATCACTGACTCCGGTTGAGTTTTAAAACTCCGGGGTTGCGTTTGACTGTCTTGGCTGTAACGTTACACTCACTCTCCTCTTCCGTGTATCTAACGTTACTTTACCAACGCCTACGTCTATCATAGACGTAATGAGGACATAATGGAGGAGGGGGGAGTAGGCCTTTGGAGGGAGGTGGAGCTGCAGGCGGGAGTTGTGGATGTTCACATTTTTTCTAAGTGCTGTGTGAAATGCAAGAAAGGTAAGAGTAGCTTTAACTTAAGCCCAGTTCAGACCAAAGATTAGCGATGAGATGAGTTGAAACATGTCACTACATGTAAGTACTACTACAATGTGCCACTCTGCAACAAACCTTGCCGGTTCACACCAGTGCAACTAGATGAGAAGGTGTATCATCTCTATGCAACAACTCTCCGTACTTCTGTTCTGTTTTCCAGCTTTTCAGGCTTATTTTGTGGCTGAATATAATTTGTAGCTTCTTAAAATATGAGTGAGGATAGTGATAGTGAGATAGGCTACTGGCTACAGCTGCATTTATAGTGATGAAATGACGAAAAACAGAAACAAACGAGCATCAGATGGACTGTATTCATAATAAATACTCTACAACAATATAAATAACCATCACCAATTACATAGTTGTTGAGAATGTGTGTGTGTGAGGGGGCAATAAGTACATACAGCGAGCAGCAGCAGCCACCCACCGTCCCACACCGGCACACCTGAGGACTGAAACAGAGGGCTCAGCAGGGACAAAGCATCTGCCGCAGCAAGCGAACACGCCGTCTGCGGTCATTTTGACTTGACCAGCAGACTTCACTACAAGCCGATTGGCTGTTGAAACAGGTGACGTGCTTCAGGTTCTAAAACCAACCGCCAGTGATTCGACCAGCTGAGTAGCAGGTGAGTTGAGCTCAGACCGGTCAGTTCACACTGCTGCAACTTTTCTCTGCAACATTCAGAAATGGTTTCGTCTCGTCGCAAATCTTTGGTCTGAACTGGGCTTTAGAGTCATTTTAAGGTATGTTGCCACCATGTTTCTTTTCTTAAACCTAACCTCAGTGTCTT